AATTCCTGCAGAAACTTGGGTGTAGCACACACCCTCCTCCAAAGGTGGAATGTTGCATTGTCCAGTACTGTTAAACCCGCAAGCAACAGCAATCCCATCACTTCGCAGAAGCACTGAATGAAATTGTGCTGCAGAAACTTGTGTGTAGCACACACCCTCTTCCAAAGGGGGAAGGTCGCATTGTCCATATTGGTTCCTTCCGCAAGCAACAGCACTCCCATCACTTCGCAGAAGCACTGAATGACTTGCTCCTGCAGAAACTTGGGTGTAGCACACACCCTCCTCTAAAGGTGGAATGTCGCATTGTCCTTCTTCGTTCATTCCACAAGCAACAGCACTCCCGTCACTTCGCAAAGGCAGTGAATGACTTGTCCCTGCAGAAGCTTGGGTGTAGCACACACCCTCCTCCAAAGGTGGAATGTTGCATTGTCCATATTGGTTCCTTCCGCAAGCAACAGCACTCCTATCACTTCGCAGCAGCACTGAATGTCTGTTCATATCCTGCAGAACACATTGTCACAAACTGGAGAACAACTTGAGTAGAGAATTGCATCTTGGGCCAAAAGTTGTTCATGTTGTTTCTTTGGCTTGCCTGGGTTCGCCCGAGATGAATTCCAATGGCATATGGTCCTAGTGAAGAAAGGTTTCACTGGAGCCACCCGAAATTGTTATTGTTGCCTGGTGTTGAATTTTGGGGGCTGGTTTGGCAGCCTTCTCTCTCTGTTCCTGTGCTTGTTTCACACGATCATAGTTCAAACCAGGGCTGTTGGGAGTGACTCTGATCCATGCGTTCTGCCTTGTTTTCAGTCGGCTAGGCAGCCTATTTGCAAGCTAGTCAACCTATAACAATGATCACTATTCTGTTGGAAGCTCATCAAGGTGCAAACGCACTTCTGGCTGACTCTCATGTGACAACAAGAACACCCAAAGAAACAAGTGGTTCAAAATGAACAGAACGCTAGAAGCAAGATAGTTGGATCAAGAAATGATTGTCGATCCTGGAGTAGATAGAATGTGAACCAATCCAAAAGCATGACCGGTTTCCTATTGTTTCTTAATTTTCCCATATTCTATCTAGTCCAAGACGACTATACAAGCTGAAGCCACCCACTTCCATGCACGATCCAACTCGTCAGTGTACACTGTATACACCTTTTTGCACTGAACTGCTCTGCATTGCTCTGCAACTCAATCATGGACCGTACCAATACTTGGACAAAGTTGTACGATCTTTCAGAGACAGATGCCAGGCCCCGCCATAGCTGATCTCAGCAGTAACAGCAACACCACGTCGGACGCTCCTCGTCCAACTTTCTCTGTGGCTTTACTGTAGTGCTCTCTTCATCCCAGTTCATTGCAGTCAGCAAAGGATTCTGGCGTGACGTGTGAGATTTTGTGGAACCTTCACATCCTTCACCAGGTTCATTGTGATTTACCCATGTGTGTGTGTGGCCAAATGGATGCGTCCATCATGCCTGCGACCACTTTCTCAGCTCGTTCCGGCAGACACCTGCGCAGCTGGCTGTGCAGCTGGCTGCGGTCTCGCAGGCTGCGAGACCCTTGGTCGTCCGACCGACGGTCAAAGCGACAATGGGACACGCCTCACTGTGGTCCACTGCCCTTCACTCAGATCCGCAATGGTGGCCAATGGACTTGCCCTGCAAATGGAAGCTAACAACCGTCCATCAGGCAAAACCAAACGAAGACTTTGGAGGTTAACCTGCAAGTCGCTCGCAATGCGCTTGTGCGTATCCCATGCGAAGTCAGACTCTTTTGCTCTCAATCGCAACACCTCATGCCCGGCCAAGTCACAGCATGTCAGCACCCATGCATCATCTTTGAAGGCAAGGCCCACTTGCAGAATGTAGTCTTTGCCACAATCAAAAAGGTAGCTACCGGTTGCAAACACCGGAATGTTGCATTCTCCATCAGCGTTACTTCCGCAAGCGACACCACTCCCATCACTTCGCAGAAGCACTGAATGAAAGACTCCTGCGGAAACTTGGGTGTAGCACACACCCTCCTCCAAAGGTGGAATGTCGCATTGTCCAGCATGATTCATTCCGCAAGCAATAGACCTCCCATCACTTCGCAGAAGCACTGAATGAGCATTTCCTGCAGAGACTTGGGTGTAGCACATTCCCTCCTCCAAAGGTGGAATGTTGCATCGTCCATCACAGTTCAATCCGCAAGCAACAGCACTCCCATCACTTCGCAAAAGCACTGAATGATCCCATCCTGCAGAGACTTGCATGTAGCACATTCCCTGCTCCAAAGGTGGAATGTTGCATTGTCCATAACGGATCGACCCGCAAGCAACAGTACTCCCATCACTTCGCAGAAGCACTGAATGTTCACCTCCTGCAGACACTTGGGTGTACAGCATTCCCTCCTCCAAAGGTGGAATGTTGCATTGTCCACGATCGTTTCCTCCGCAAGCAACAGCGCTCCCATCACTTCGCAGAAGCACTGAATGATAAATTCCTGCAGAAACTTGGGTGTAGCACACACCCTCCTCCAAAGGTGGAATGTTGCATTGTCCAGTACTGTTAAACCCGCAAGCAACAGCAATCCCATCACTTCGCAGAAGCACTGAATGAAAGACTCCTGCGGAAACTTGGGTGTAGCACACACCCTCCTCCAAAGGTGGAATGTCGCATTGTCCAGCATTATTCATTCCGCAAGCAATAGCCCTCCCATCACTTCGCAGAAGCACTGAATGAGCATTTCCTGCAGAACACATCGTCACAGACTGGAGAGGAGAACGTCCCTATGTCCCTTTAGATTGCTGTTTGGGCCAAAGGCAACTTTTAAATGTTGTCCTTCGTTCTTCTGCTGGTGTTGCCACTGATTGGTTCCAATGACATGTGGACACTTTCCCATGCATAAGCCCAATTCAGACCTTTATGGTGCAGGACACCGATGACCTGGCCAGAGCAAGACTTGGGACTTGATAGGATCCGAAAGGATTCAAGTGGGATTGCGCTACCATGTGGTCAGCTTCCGCAGTAAAACTGTTGGTCCAGGACAAACCGTGATCCCCATTCAAGATGCTTCATGGTCATTGATGAGATGTTCCTTTGAACAAAGGCAGCTTGTGATTTCGTCAAGCAAAGCACTCCATCAGCTATGTCTCATAATCGGCTGCCAGCAGCATGTTAGTATCTGTTAATGTGGTTTTTCAGACATAGTATCACATCCTCCCCTGTGCTCACCCTGTATACTCCCCAGTCGTGGGGCCCCTCAAATACCCCTCAAGTCTGCAGATTGGGGTTCACTTGCTCGATCTTTCATGATCTGTCTACAGTAGCCGCTAGCCCTTTCTGACGCATTGGAATGCCCCGCAGTCAAACTCGGCTGAAATCTTGTTGCGAGCGCCAGAAACAAAGACCAATCAAAGGTGTCTTTGTCTTTGTCATTAATAAATGTTGTATGCAACATGCACATATTTGCACCCGTCAGAGTTCTGAGGCGTGTCAATTTGTTCGAACTGAATTGGGAACCTTTCGAATGCTTGAGATGGCCGCCCCGCTGAAGTATCT